CACCGGCAGCTACCCCGGACCGCCACATGATCCTGCCCCTCCGGGTTGATGTGGCCTTTGGGGGGTGACATCTGCGCAGCTGCTCCGTGGGGTCTGAGCAGGGGACTGCGGCTCAGGCCCTTCAAGGCAGAGAAATGACTGGGACATGGACGGCTTGCTCCCTTTGAGGATGTGGGTCCAGGTGCCTGGGTGGTAATGGTAGAGCATCCGTGCACTCCGCAATGGTCCCTGCCTTCGTGTCCTCTCTGGCGCTTGCCTCTGTGCGGAAGAGGAAAGATGACCCGACCTGCCTCACAAGCCTAGTCCAGGGCTCCAGGCTTCCTTGTAAAGCGCACTTGCGCAGTCAGTCATGGCCCAGCTTCGACCTCGGGCAGGGATCCTTGCCCATGAGTTGTTGTCGCTATGGAGCATGTGTTCAGGACCGCCTCTGCAAGGGCCTGATAAGGGAGGCTGGGTCTGTGGAGAACTTGCTGATATAGGAAGTGACATGAGGATGTGTGGATGCTTTCGTATTTCTACATTGGAAAAGGCCTGCTAGCAAAAGGGTGTTTTTTCTACACGTATTTAGTTTGGGAGCTGGTATAAAGGATGCTCCCAGAAGCACTCTGGCCAATATCAATTCTGTTGGTTTGCCAGCTGAACACTGTTGTCACAGACTTTCTAGTGTAGACCAGGCCTAACTCAGGACTTACCTGTATACAGAAGCAGTACCAGCTTTTAAAAATAATTTTTACAACATTGTTTTTAACCCCCTTTGTAGACATGCATACTGGTATAAATGGGGCTTACACTGAAACAAACAAAATTAATAGAGACTTGTTTAGACTGAATGAGGAATTTCTGTGCACCAGTTTCTCTCAATCCATTTTTAAAACAAACCTATTTGTGAAACTTTGTGCACCAGGCCTTTGTTAATTGATTGTTGCCCTGAACATAAGGTGCCTTGATTCAGTTCTGTATCATATCAGACCAGGAGGAGGTCCATAATTGGGTCTTTCAAGAATAAGTATCATAACACCTAACTTTTAGGCATGTGACTCAAGTGGAATCCACAGCCTAGGTTAGGCATATAGGCCCCCTGCATAGAAAGTTCTTTGAAACGCAGATAAGGAGGTAATGATGAAGTCTATTCAGGAAATAAAAATATGCTGAAGTCTGTAGTTAAAGGAAGATTTAACATTTGAAACTGGAAAATCAAAATTGAATTTACACAAATAAACATTTCTATCCTTGTAACCAGCTGTGTACTGTGCATCAGCTGCAGGATGCAACTTTGTGCCTGTAATGAATATTAAACCTACTTTTCACATTTTAAAACAATTAAAAAGCAATGTATTCCACATACATATCCATCCATTTTCCCATGGAGGGATTTAATTATTTAAAGCAGGGCTGTCCAACATGTGAGTGGCTGGGGGCGTGACCCTGGGCTGTATACTATGTGGCAGGTGCTTCCCCCCTACCCTCAAGTACTGCACTGTGCCATGGGTGCTCCACCATGGATGCTGCACTGTGTGACCTGCACACTTTGCCATGCCACACTGGCTCCCCCACCACCTACCACAATGAGTTTCCCCCTACTGTATTGTGCTGATACACCTATGCTGTGTCAGGTCCCTGGGTGTCCCCTGAAATGCTAGGCTGTGGACTCTCTCACCCTTGCAGGCTGTGTTGGCCTATCCCAAGGGGCAAGAAGAAGCCAGGGGAAGGAGGGAAGTCTAAAGACTCCTGCAGCAGCTGTTTGGGGATCAGTGGGGGAGTGGTGCCCCAATAAGGAGCCTGGGGGGCTGCAGGTTAACCCCTTGGGGGCCAAATGTAGGCTGCAGTTTGCCATTTGGACTACCCTTATTTACAACAACTACTGTATCTTTTTAGACTAGAGGCACTCCTTGGAAAATGCGGGCTCAGCTTTTAATAATTTGACTGTGGAAAAGAAATAAAATATTTATTTTGTTGCACTGAACTCAGAAAGACCACAACAGGTCAGAAGACCATGATGTCAAAAAAAGTTCTATTTTAAATCTCTGTTTATCTTGTGAATTGTGTAGGTGTTCATGCACCTAATAATGTTAATGTTGTGTGACATACTGCTGGATCCTTAAAAGGATCTTATGGTACCCCAAGGTGCTGCAACACCCTGGTTGAGAATCACTGAGAGTTGATAGGAGAAATTGTAAGGGACCTCCAGAAGTCATCTAGTCCAACCCCCTGTCTGAGGCAGGATCATCCCTATCCAAACCATCCCATACAAACCATAATTTAAACTGTACATAAACGTGTTAAAGGTGGCTGCTTTGTGAAATAATAGATACAAGATGTTTGGAGACTGATCTTTTCAATGATAATGAGCCTGGAAGACGGAAGAGAGAATGACAGGAACAGGGATACTGCAGAATTTGTTCACTCCAAGAACCAATGAGGATCTAGTGGCTACTTCTGCACTTAGAGCCACATAAGTTCAGATCTGGATGGTGCTCTAGTGCAGGTGGAACTAGTTGAGTACAGAGTTTAAAGGATTATTGTGATCCTGGTATGTACACTCAGGAATCTCTGGTAGAAGTTAGGAAGTCTGCATTTGTGCTGGTACAACTCTTAATGGAATACTGTGCCCAATTCTTCTATCCTCAGTCTGAGAGTTGCAAGAATGGAGAAAGTGCAGAGAATACTCATGAGATTGATTCAAGGATTGGAAAACATATGTAGTGAATGATTCAAGGAAGTTAGTTTATTTAATTTATCCTGCTAATACAGAAAAAAAGCAAAACACCTCTTTTTATCAGAAATTGATTGGCAACGTAGGTTATATAAAGGGTCAAAAACAAGTAGTTTAAAAATTAATGAAGTGTTTCAGTGTAACATGAGATGCAAGCAGTCAGAATTTCAGCTACCAGAATGAATCCCTAAAATCTAGTTATTAGGAATGACTGCATCCATTTTTGGTTTTGAATCATTAGACCTGTTCAAAAACTGAACCCACCTATCCTGGGCAACCCTGGCTTATTTTAGCAAGTAACAGTTACTTTTAAAAAATGTTGCCATTTTTGTAGGTTTAGACCACTTGGTTTTAGGCTTAATATTCCACAGGTTGTGGATAACTTAAAAATAGTCATCTTCTTAAGTTAGTTAACAGCTTTACCTGGAAAATGTTTAAAAATTGTTTTTGTTTTTTTTATTTGGGTATTTTTTTTGACAGTTCTAATATTTTATTCTGGGCATAGTCAACTCTTGTGGTAGTTACTGTAATACCCAATAAGACTACAATCTTGCAGGGAATTAATTTCCATGCAAGTCATTTGTAGCCAGCAATACGCAAGCAATTATGTTTTGACTTCGTGAGCTTATAGAGCAGAAAAGTTTGCTTTCCATAATATCCTGCAACAATACTGATTATTTTAAATAATAAGCATTTTTTTTAGCTATTAAGTAGAAAATAATAAAGTGACAGACTTATTTTCCAGCATAAAATGGAAAGTGATCCTGAAGGGCTGCTTCTGTGCAGGTTTTTGCTGATCATTTCCTCTCGTGCAGATTTTGACTGCCCCCTTGAACACTACACACCATTCCTGTTCTACAGTTCATGTTGACACTGGCATTGGTTTCTCAGAGCAAACAAAATAGCTCATTGTTGTTGGGAACTGCTTGATTTATCAGCATTGGAGAGCCCCCTAGCCCAATGACTGTTTTGAGAATAGAGTCTGTTCACTGTATTCTCTCTCCAATTTCACTCAATCCATGTCAACTGCAGAGGAAATAGGATCCCATCTTAGGAGTACGTGAGGTACCATTTGTATATTCTAATTATGCAGAATGGAATTGGATGAGCCTCTGCCAGTATTGCTACAGTAGTCTAAGTTGTCTGTAAATTTAAGTGAGTTTTCTAGCTTTTTTTGCTTTTTAAAAAATCAGAACCAGAGACCTCTAGCTGTTAGGCTGGTTTTTAGGATTTGGAGAAGATAATTTTTATTGCATGTTGTTCATAAGGGTGACTTGTGTATGCTTTTATAAATAAGTCTGATGTTAATGACACAGAACCAACCACTGTTTAGGATCTGTGTAGTGTATAAGCAACAAGTATGTATTCATTCTTGTGGTAATATATTATCATTAAGTTCTGGGATCTTTTCCAGCGGCCAGCAAGAGTTCTTATTATTCTGAGGATGTTGTCTGCCAGGAGTGTTAGCAGTATGGACTATCCACTCAACAGCTTCTCTTTTGGACCTGGTTCTAAGTAGTTCAGATGACAACCCTTAGCTATGCCCACTGTTCAATATGGGACAGACATGCAGAGATCAGCTTTCTCATATGGTATAATACAGACTCCATTTCTTCTAGGATAAGAGAAACAAAGGTTTTGAATGAATGGTAGTGTCTTCCACTAGACTAGAAGCTCTGCATGAATTCAGCATTTTTTTTATAAAACCATATTTTGCATGAAGATATAGTAAACTCATAGTTTCTCGTATTAAACTCAGGCATGATTATAACACCTGCCAATGTAATGGGAAGGCACAGTGTAGGAGATCAGGGGGAATTGTCTTGCTGAAAAACATGTTTTCCTCTGGTATTTTAGCAGACAGCCATAATTAGTTTTCCATTCTAATGGACTGGTTTTTTTCCCTTGTTTAATTTCATGTATCTATTTCTACAAATGACTAATTCTGTATATATTTTTTTCTCTTTAAAGCACTTGAGTCACTTGTAAAATTATCTTGAAAAATCAGAGAAAAGAAGATGTATCACATTGTTCGATATCAGCATTTGAAACTAATAACCCAGAACACTGTTTCTAAGGTGCATTTAAAGTTGATTTTTCCAAGAACCCTGGCATTTGCACAACTGGGAAGGTCATGGATCTCAAGTCACTCTCATGCTGCAGATCAGAATATTATCCTGATGGGACCTCCTGGTGCTGGGAAAACAACAGTAGGGAGAATAGTAGGTCAAAAACTGGGCTGTCCTGTCATAGATGTAGACAACGATGTCCTTGAAAAAACCTGGAATATGAGTGTGTCAGAAAAATTGCAGGATATTGGTAATGAACAATTTTTAGAAGAGGAAGGAAAAGCCCTGTTAAAGTTTTCAGCATCTGGAAGTGTAATTTCCCTTACTGGATCCAATCCAATGCATGCTGCTAGTATGCAGCACATGAAGAAAAATGGGTTAGTTGTGTATCTGGATGTACCCACAAGAGACATAATAGATAGACTGGAATTCATAAAACTGGATCGTATTGTGGGTCAGGGGCCTCAAATTTCCATGAGAGACATACTTCAGTATAGGAAACAGTTTTATAAAAAGTGGTATGATATCCGGGTTCTTTGTGAAAGTGGGATTACAGCAGAGGCTGTAGCAGATAAAGTACTTGATGCAGTTAAGAGGTATCAAGACTCAGAGGCAGAAACTTTTATTTCAACCAGATATGTAAAATCTGAAAAATGTGATAAAAAAGAGCCTGCTAAATATTTCAGTGATGTTGTGATTGAGAGCCTAGCATCTGATGGTGGACTCTTTGTTCCTGAGAAGGGGCTTCCAAAATTAACTGCTGGAGAATGGCAAAGCTTAGTAGAAGCAACCTATGTTGAAAGAGCCCAGATTATATTGGAAAAATGTATACATCCTGCTGATATACCTGCTTCAACACTGGGTGAAATAGTTGAGATTGCTTATGGAGAGAATTTTACCTGTTCTAAAATTGCCCCTATTAGGCACTTGTCAGGCAACCAGTTTCTCCTTGAGTTGTTTCATGGACCAACAGCCTCATTTAAGGATTTTGCATCACAGCTGTTACCTCATATCTTTGCTTACTGTGTTCCCAGAAGCTGCAATTATTTGGTCCTAACAGCTACATCTGGAGACACAGGGAGTGCTGTCCTAGATGGTTTTAGTCGTCTTAATGATGCTGACAAGCAAAGAATTGTTGTGGCCAGTCTCTTTCCTGAGGATGGAGTGAGCCAGATTCAAAAATCTCAGATGATTGGCTGCCAAAGAGGAAATGGATGGGCAATAGGTGTCAAATCTGACTTTGATTTTTGCCAGATGGCTATAAAACAAATATTTACCGATTCTGATTATACTGGCTTTCTTACTGCAGAATATGGAACAGCTTTAAGTGCAGCAAACTCTATAAACTGGGCTCGACTACTTCCTCAAGTGATTTATCATGCCTCTGCCTATCTTGACCTCGTTCATCAAAGTATTATTGCTTTTGGGAGCCCAATAGATGTGTGTGTGCCTACTGGAAACTTTGGCAACATATTAGCAGCCTTGTATGCAAAAAAGATGGGAATACCTATCAGGAAATGTATTTGTGCTTCTAATGAAAATAACGTTTTGACCAGTTTCATGAGAACAGGCCTTTATGACTTAAGGGGCAGAAGACTAATACGTACTTTGTCACCAGCAATAGATATTTTGAAGTCTTCCAACCTTGAACGACACTTGCATCTGATTGCTAATGGTGATGGACAGCTGGTGACACTATTGTTTAATAAGCTGGAAAATCAAAGCCACTTTCAGTTGCAGAATGAGCTACTTGAGAAACTTCAGCAGGACCTGGTGGCTGGGTGGTGTTCTGAAGAGGACTGTTTAACTGCTATTCACTCTGTATACAGTACTACCGGGTATATTTTGGACACACACACAGCTGTTGCTAAAGTTGTTGCAGATCGATTACAGGATAGAACCTGCCCAGTTATCATTTCATCTACAGCTCATTATTCCAAGTTTGCACCTGCTATTTTGCGGGCTCTGAGGATTGCAGAAATAAAACAGAATCCATTAAGTCAGCTTCACTTGCTGAGTTCTTACAGCCCTTTGCCTCCAGTCCACCAAGGCCTGTTAGAGACATTGAAAAAGAATGAGATGCAGAAACATCAGGTCTGTGCTGCTGATGTGAATGTTCTGATGGCACATATAGAAACCTTAATACAAAACCGCTTCATGAAGGTTTCCTAAGTAAACTCACTAGGCATTTTCTGTGTCAATTTGAATATTTTCTTCGATAAAGATGCCTGTTTTAATAAAAGCATCGTTCACGAGGCCTGTGCCCAGTTTACATTCAGAACACACATTCTCGTTTTCATTTTTAGCTGTAACATTTTAACATTGCTTGTTAAAAATGTTCACTGCATGTGAGAATTTGAATCCATGTGAAGGTTCTGAAATGATAGCCCAAGACACTGATGTGCCTTTTTCCAGAACAAGTAGGCTAAGGACAGCAGCAGTGCCAACTTCTCCAGGCAATCCTTCTACTGTTCCTTGGCCTTGACCTGGAAGGAAGAAGGACTGCTAAGAAGAAAAGAAAAGGCAGCTGCTGGCACCTCTGAGAACAAGTGCAATGAGTTGTATTTTTGTTGTGTATGTAGTTTGTGATGTGAATGCTCGTCCACTGGGAATTTTTGCTAAACCCTTTAACTCATTTCACAGAGCACTGAAAAGCTGTCAGATGTAGTAATATATGAAGACTGTTACTAATATAGTATACATTAATATTGCAAACCTTGAAGAGAAATTATCTACATCCCTTGAGCCATACAATCGCACAGTTATTTAATATGTTCTCTCACTTTATATTGTCTTTGTATTGACTGTAGCTGAAGTTTTATATAAAAATCTTGCTCTTCATCAAACATCAAGGATTTCACACCAACAGTTTGTATTTTTTGTGTGAAATAAAAACCTTCACTCTATATCTTTTTAATAACTTTTTAAAGCATATTTCTTCCCATAATTCATTGCAGCTTCAACTTTGAGGGTTTTTATTTGAATTCACAAGTGCAGAAGTTTCTACACAAAAGTAATAGAAACTATCTTCTTGAATATGAAATTAAAATATTCAGTTCTTCAGTTTCTATCCTTTACATTTTAAACTGTAAAACTTAAAGTATATGTTTAGGACCTCAATAGGCCTCTGGAAGTTTCTAACTTTATTTTTTGTATTATTCTTAGTTTTCTATTCTTGATTTTTGTGTGTGTGGTGTAGTGTAAATAAGACACAGAAACTCAGTAGCAGAAAACAAAAGAAAATTGGGAACAAATTTACATTAATGCCACTGCACATTTTAAGTTTTCCCAAGCTAAGGCAAATCTATTTTAGGTCATGTGATTCCCTCTATCAGGTGATGACTAGAGCAGGGGTGACCAAAATATACCCGCCGGGGCAGATGCAGCCCGCCAGGCCATTCTATCTGGCCTGCGGGGCCCCTAAAAAAATTAGCAAATTAATATTTATCTGCTCCTGGCTGCCTGTCAAAGATGAAAGGAGTCAGGGGCAGTAGGACCCAGCAGCAAGGCCTGTTGGGCTCCACCCCACCTCCAGCCCCCCCACTCTCTCAACTGGAAACCTCTGCCCAGTGGAGGCTTCTGGCCTGGGACCATGGGGCTGTTTCTGCCTCCCTCTGCCAGAGAGGGAAATTCAGATAAGAATGAGAAGGGAGGGAGGAAAGGGAGGACCACAGGCAATCGTTCCAGTCCTCGGGGCTGGGCTGGGCTGGCTCCTGCTGAGTCCTGTGGTCACAGCCATGCAGTCGGGAACCACATGGTGCTGGAGCGCAATGGTGTCGGGTAGGAAAGTGGCGGCAGGTAGAGGGGAGTGGGAGTGAGCTGGTGTGCGGGAGTGCAGTGACTGCTGGATGGGATTACAGGGCCTGCGCTAGTGTCCCAGGGCCAGTACCAGTGTGGGTCTAGGGCCTGGGCTGGCAGGGGCTCAGGGGGCAGGCTGAGCTGTGCCAGCAGGGAGAGGGGGGGAGCTGGCTTGGCTCCATAGAGTCCCTGCTGGCTTGGACTCCTGCTGCCCCACTCTGGGCCCTGGCTGGCCCTGGCTTTGGGACACCAGTGTGGGCCCTGTGCTCCTGCCCAGCTGTTGCTGGGCTCCCACATGCCCACTTGCTGCCCCTTCCCCCTGCCTGTAGCTGTCATTTTCCCACTTTTCTGCCTGCTGCCACCTGCCCGCCCACTGCGCCAGCACCATGTGGCTCTCGGCTGCATTGGCAGACCATGGGAACATGGGACATGCACTGGTACCCGGGGGGTGGGGGGTGTGCGTGCATGTGTCTGCAATGAGGGAGGGAGGGGGAGAGAGAAAGTGTGTGTGCACGTGCACATTAAAGGAGGGAGAGAGAGTGTGTGTGTAGGTGTGTGTGTGTGTGTGTTCATAGAGTGAGTCCCACACGCACACCCATTTTGAACTGTCAAACACACAGACCTCCCACACTCCCCAGGCACCCTGCCCCCACACACAGCCTCCCCACAAACCCCATGCCTACCCAGAGCCCACATATCCACACACACCCCCACACCTATCCACCCCCCCACACCCACACCCTCCCACAAACCTATATCCACCCCCATGCTCCCCCCACACAATATACAAGACTAAGGCTTCTTTTTAAACTATGGTGCAGTCACCTCTATGTACACGACACAAACACATAATAATTGCATGCCCCTGAACTAGAGGTTTAATAGATTTCTTTTTGGATGTCATTAGGGAAAACCTGCCTTAAACCAGATGACCTTTTGTGTAATTGTGTTTATTATATTTTGCAGTTTATAAGTGTAAAATTTAAGAATAGTCCACATGTTATAATGCCTTTGTGTAGATCAGTATAAGCCAAATGACACTAGAATGGTTGTTATTTATTCCATTGATATGCTACCCTACCCAACAAAAGCTCAGGGCAGCTTACAATAAGAGAACAGAATAACTTATAAATAAGGATCTACTTAAAGTCTGCATAGGGGAAGTAAAAATTGCAGACTGCTTGTGGTGCCTGATGCCATTTTCGCCATCTTTTTGCAAGCCTCCCCTCCACTCCTCAGCCTTCTGCTGCTGATTGGCAGAGGGGCCCTGGTGTTCCTGCCCCTCGGTGCTGATTAGCTGAGAGGGCTGCCTGTCATGCAGCCCTGCCGCTTGCCACTGCTTGGCGGAGAAGCTGCCCTTCATGCAGCCCCTCCCCTCACTGCTGATTAGTGGAGAGGGGCGGGGCTGCACAAAAGGCAGCCCCCTCTGCCAGTCAGTGGTGGAGAGAAGAGGGGGTGACCACCATCTTGGCTGCCTCCCTTTGTGGGAGCAGCTTCCCTCCCCCCCACCTGTGGGCTGCGAGGCTGGGCTCTGGCTTCTACTGGGAAGCTAACATTGTATTTTTAGTAAGGTTTTTTTCCCTTGTGGAGAACAACTGATTTCACAGTGATCATGGAAACTGCCTCTTTTCCTGGTTTCTGTGAAAATTGCAAAATTGTGACTTCCATGGGGCTACTGGTGCCACCTTAGGCGGGGCACCTGGTCCCCCAGTGGCCAATCTTGCCGATTGGGGGTGGAGTCCCCCCATGGCCAATCTCACTGACCAGGTAGGGGGGATCCCCCCCACAGCAAAACTTACAGAGCAGTGAGTGGTGGTGCTGCTCCCAAAAGCAGCCGTGGTGGTTCCGATAGCTTACATCTGGCACTCCCACTCCCTGGCCAGTGCTTGCAGGGGTGGGCACTGGTGCTCCCGCCTGCCCCCCCTGCCCATCACCTAAGTGGGGAGTGTGGCTGGTCAGGGAGTGCATGTGCACCCCCTTGTACCTCCTACGCGTCGCCACTGGTGAAGTGAGTACATCAGTGCTTATAAAAGAAAACAAACCAACTTAAAAGGGAACTAGAATATCAATTTAAAACAGACCTCCCCCAAACAATGTCTCAACCTAACTACTAAATGCCTACCCGAATAGGAAGGTCTTAGAATGCTTCCAAAATATGTATGTTGTATCATAAATATAACAAACAATACCTTTTAATTTATAGATGGACTCTTCAGCATAAGTGTAAGCATTAAACATAGGTTTTTTTCCATTGCTGTACATGGACTCCTTTTCAGGATGTTTCTAAGTTATTTTCTGTGCCCTTTTTAGCTCTATCATAGTTCCTTATTTTATCTGTAATCCTGGAAACTCAATTTATATTTTTTTTCTCAAGAAGCACTATGGGAAGGCCCCCAAATACATGTTGGCACACTAAGCATTGACATCTAGTGCAATATCACGAGGGGAAAAAAAGTAGCACAACTTTATTACTGGAAAGAAGAATCTGTGGTCCATTGTGTTAGTGTGCTGCTACCTTTTCATTTCTGGTGGTCCAAGTTAGACTTTTCACTCTGGACTCATATATGCTCAGTGTCAAATACGTACATGATTTGGTATGATTGTCAATTTCAAAATAAAAAAAAAGCCTGGACTGAACTAATATTGATGTTTCAGAATAGGAATGGCTTGCAGCCCAGGATTTCATTGGAAATTGCACAATGTCTGGCTATGCTGAGCTTAGATCAATATGATTTTGTCGTCTCACGAGTATTAGAGTTTATTATAACCCAGATTCTATTCTTCTAAGATATCAAATTGAAACTTACCCAGTTTAGTCTCCTCTATCCTACTGAATGCAGTCCCGTTCTGTCCCACTGGGTGTCATAAAACTACAAAGGCCTCTGGATTCCTTTTGCATTTCTAATTAGGCCTGAAAAGATCCCTAGGTACTAGATTTGGCATGCTGTGCCTGAAGAGAAAAGATTCAGAACAGTCACTGAGACATCCGTTGAGCACCAGTTCTTCCGCTGAAGCACATAAAAATCCACCTAAGTCCAGATTCCTTAGAAAGAAAAGAACACACTGAGCAAGTGAAGTTATTTCCCCAATAACGGAGTGGTTAGGGTACTTACATAGTTAGGCTTTGGTTCTAGGCCCCAAACAGCCAGAGGTGGTTCGAACCCACATCTTTCACTTTCCTAACAACCAATTTATGAGCTGGACAAGACTGAGAGTATCTTTTATGGTTCTTGCTAAAGCTGGCCCACTGTCAGGTGCCCTCGGAGGCTGCCCAGCCTGGGCTAATGGTCTAGCAGGCCACACCTGTTTGGGGCTTTGACTGGCAGCTCTACCCCAGCTGATGATGCCAGCTGGCCACTAGTAAGGCATTTTGACTGGCTCCTGGGAGAGAAGTCTATTCATTTAGTTCTAGCTGTGGCAGCAGACTCCAGACCAGCCAGCAGTTCCTGCCGAAGGTTTGCCCTGCAGCTCTCTGTGATGGAGTACTCCAGTTTCCCTGACTCTGCTTGCTCTGTTCCTGGACTCTGGTTTCTGAAGTTTCCTTTGTGTTTGGTAAATCAGTCTCTGACTCCTGAACTTTGACTTGACTTGTGATTTGGACCTTGCCTCTGGATTTCCTCTGGGTCTAGTAACTTAGTATCTGTTTCCTGATCTTAGCCTGGCCTGTGTTTTGGACTCTGCTCCTGTCTTTGGCCCTTTGCACCCCCTACAACTTGGAGAATAGGAAGCTAGTATCAGAGGGCAGCAATCAGGTAGGTAGCTGAACAAGGACCAGCTGCAGAGAAATAAGCAGCCAAGGTAGTTAAAGAAAGCACCTAACATGTAGCAGGCGACTACTTGAGAGCTAACTGTATGGGCAAAAGCAGACTACAGCAAGCTGAGGACTGGGCTGATTGGAGCCCCCTGGGCAGTGTGGAGGCCATGTGACTGGAAAGGGTGGAGCCGTGGCATACTAAAAGCCTGGATCCTGAGCCAGTGACCTCAATCTGGCCCTGACCTTTGAGAGTAGAACTGATGGCCTGGGCTGCTAAAGTGAGGAAACGACTAATATTCAGAAAAGCTGCAAGGAGCCAATAGATTGGAAGGCAGAGTTTGCTGGGAG